AATTCAAGTCCTTACCACAGCCCATCAAGCCCTGCGTGCCCAAGTAATTATAATTATCATCCCTGCCATAATATGAAGTACAGGTCGCCCTTGAACAGTGTGGGGGTTAGGGGTGCCAACCTCCCTGACAGTCAAGAATCTGTGTATAACTACAGCTGGCCTCTGCACGTGCAGATTCCCAACCATGGAGGTGACCCTCGAACAACTCGGGTTTGAACGGGGCGGGTCAATTGGAGAAAACATCTGTGTGTAAATGTACCTGCACAGTTCAAACGCGTGTTGTTCAAGGACTGACTGTCCAGACACTGTGCTCCGCACAATAACCCTGAGAGGTGGGTATTATAACCCCCATTTTACTGTGAAGAAACTGGAGCCTGAGAGAGGTGAAGTAACTTATGTAAAACCATACCACGAGTGAGTGAATATGCTTTTATTCATCTTACACCACTTCTTAAACAATATGAAAGTTTTAATGCTGATGAACATGATGCCAATGATAACAGCTATCACATAATCAGCACTTACTATGTGCCAGCTATCTTGCCACTACTCATTAACTCCTCTGTGCCCTTGTTTCCACATTTTAAAAAAATGTTTTTATTGATTTTTTAGAGAGAGGAAGGGAGAGAGAGAGATAGAAACATCGATGTGAGAAAGAGAAGCATAGATCGGCTGCCTCCTGCATGCCTCCATACTGGGGATTGAGCCCGCAACCCGTGCATTTGCTCTGGCCTGGAGTTGAACTGGGATCTCTCAGTCCGTGGGATGACGTTCAGTCCACTGAGCCACACTGGCCAGGCTCCACGTTTGTATAATGGGAATAATAACATGACCACACAGGGTAACTGTGAGGATTAAATGAGCTAATACATAAAAATGGTAAGATCTCAAAAAAGATAATTAGCTTTTTTCAGTTAGCTCTTGCTGGCTAACAAATCATCCCAAAGCACAGTAGTTTTAAAATAGCAACCATTTATTTGCTCATGATTCTGTAATTTCAGCAAGGCTCAGAAGGTGAGGTGAGTCAGGACGGCTCATCTCTACTCCACACACTGTCAGCTGGGCACCGGGCTAAAGGGCATCACTCATGTCTGGCACATCAGCTAAAACAGTGAAACAGCTAAGGGGGCTGGCTGGGCTTCTGTCCACGTCTCTCTCCAGCAGCGTAGCTGGATTTCTTTATACAGAAGCCCTGGGCTCCAAGAGAGTGAAAGCAGAAGCTGCCAGGCCTTTTAAAGGCCCAGACCACCCCCACCCCACCTCAACGAGCACAGCATCATTTCCACTGCATTCTACTGGTCAAAACAAGTCACAGGTCAGCCCAGATTGAAGGCAGGAGGAGAATTCACTTCCTGATGGGAGAAACAGCGAAGAATGTGCGCCCTTCATTAGCTGCAGCTATTTTAATCTCATAGTAACAGCTTTATCACTGGTCTCTACTTCAATCCTCAATCCCTCACACAACAGCCTGAGGGATATGTTAACACACATAACTGACCATGTCACCTCTCAGTGTTTAAAATTCTTTCCCTGGCCAGTGTGGCTCCATTGGTTGAGTGGCATCCCATGCACCAAAAGGTTGCCAGTTTGATTGTTGCCGATTTGATTCCTGGTCCCGATTGCTAGGGAGCATGCAGGAGGCAGTCAATCGATATCATACTCTCACATCGATGTTACTCTCTTTCTCTCCCTCTCCCTTCCTCTCTAAAAATCATAAAAATCTTAAAATAAAATTCTTATACAGCTACCCACTACACATGGGTAAGGACACACACTCCTTACAGGATCTACATGGTTTGATTTCTTGCTCCCTCTCAGCTTCTAGGTTCCAAACATCTCAAACACTCTCTCTCTCTCTGTCTCACACACACACACACACACACACACACACACACACACCACACTTAATGGAGTTAATGTCTATTCCTTCATCACCTCAAATTTCACTTCCTAGGATCCAGATTAGATTTCCTGTCAAGTGCTATTATAGCACTTTCTACCTTTCTCTGTAATTTCATATTGTGTGATTAGTTGATAAGTTGAACCCCCACCCAAGACTGAGCTCTTTGGGGGCAGAGAAACTATTTTGTTCTCTGCTGTGTTCCCAATTCTGAGCACAAAGCTGAGGCAAGATGAAAACACTTGTTGAACGTCTGAGACCTTAGAAAAATTTAAGGCAGCCCCTTAAAGTTCTGTGGAGAGGGGATTAACAGTCGCTAGGATGCTGAGATCAGGATCTGAGCTCTGAAATTATCCACCCATCCATTCATTCAATAAAAAATTACTGAATCCCTACTATATGCCAAGAGCTCTTCTAAGTGTTAGAGATAAAGCATGAAGTAGACAAAAGCCTCTGCCCTCATGAAGTGTATGGTCTGGTGGGGATGGGGGAGGGGTTAAAGGGACAGACAGTAAGATAAATTACACAGTGTGTTAAATAGTGATATGATTAATGCTAAAGAAAAATTTAAGGGATGTTAACATATTAGTGGTACAATTCTAGAAGGCTGGTCAGGGAAGATCTCAAGGAGAAGGTGTCATCTGAGTAAAGACCTAGGTAGGTGACCTTGACTATCTGGGAAGTGTCCCAGGTAAAGAGAACAGCAAGTACAAAGGCTCTGAGGCCAGTGTGGCTGGAGCAGAGTGAGCAAGGAGAGATGAGGAGATGATGCCAGAGCAGTAACATGGACAGGTCATGCAAGGCCTTGTGGGTCATGGAGAAAACTTTGGCATTTACTCTCTGTGAGATGGAGGCACAGGAGGGCAATAAGCAGGGGAGGAACATGACTTGACACAGGTGTTCACAGTGTCCCTCTGCCTGAATGTGAGAACAGACTGTGGGGAGCAGGGAGTCCATTGAGGAGGCTGCCATGATGATCTAGGCAGGTGATGAGAGTGGACAAGACTAGGGTGGCAGCAGTGGAGGTAGGAAGAAATGGTCAGGTTCTGAATATACTTTGAAAAAATTTGCTAATGGCCCACACATGGGTATAAGACAAATACAGGACTCAAGAACAATGCTAAAGCTTTTGGTCTGAATAACTATGGGGACGGAGGTGGCACTCACTGAGAAGAACCTTGGAAGAACAGATTTTGGGGGAAAAAAACAGGAGTTTGACTTGGCCAAGATTACTCTCAAGATTTGCCTAGATACCCAAGAGGAGATATGTAGGTAGTTAGTCAACAGGTCACGGGAGAGGTTCTGGGCTGGAAATAGAAATTTGAGATACGTTTCCATGCTTATCCATCCCAAATTCTTTACAGAACCTGTATGATCTGGCTCCTGCTTATGACTTGAGGCTCATCTTACACCTGGCTAAATTAATGGTTCACACATACACAAATCCTGGGCCCTCTACTTCCCAGCTACGTGATCTTGGACAAGTTACTTAACTTTCTCTGCCTTCAGTCTCCTCCTCTGCAAAGGGGAGATCATAATAGTACTGGCCTCCTAGGGCTATTAATAAAAAAAAAAATAAGCATCTAAAATATGACAGTCATTGTCCTGCATGCTGGAAAGAAATATTCCTTTCCCGCCCCGTTCCGCCATCTGTAAGCCATACCTACAGACTGTCAACTCAGCCTTCTGGATATATCTCTCACTCACCCTTTGTCCCCTCCCTACCAAGACCCTTTCTCTGGTTTATCCCCGTTGCATGCCTAGGATCCTGCCAGATGCCACCCTGGGGTCCCAGACCCAAGTCTCGTTCCCATCCATCCATTGCCAGATGGCAGCAAATAGGGCCTTCCCTTCCCGACATCCTCCTGTGGCTCCTCACTGCCCTCAGAAAATCCCTACAAAGCCAACAAAACCTTCCATGACATGATTCACACAGAACTTTCAGTGTCACCAGATCACCAGGCCGTTTCTCATCGCTGCCTTTGCGTAAGCCATGCCACCGCACCACCCAGCACTCCCGGTCACCAGGTCTCAGCTCAGGCAGCTCCTCCTCCTCCAGAAGTTTCCCTGACCGGGCTTCGTCTGGGTTCCCTCACGTTCAACGTCAGCGAACACACGCAGGCCGAAACGGCGCCCTTGCCTCGCTCCTGGCTGGGTCTTTCCCGCGAGCTGGCCAGACGCAGCAGCCAGTGATGCCCCGCGTGACGGGGCCGCTTCAAGCCTCAGCGCCTACCTCCTGCTCCAGCTCCCGGCGTCTTACCTTCACGCTCTCCGCGAAAAGCCGTCTCGCACCTGCCCCACGCCTCCAGGAATCAACACCTGCGCACAGCACGGCCAAAACCACCCAACCACAGCCTCCTCCTTCCTCCTCTGCAGCCCGCCTTAAATACCCGGGCCCCGTGTTTGACTGCTGATTGGCTGCCTGACACCCCGCCCCTAGACGCGCAAGCGCAAAGAACTCCGGTCTTGGTAGTTCCCCGACGAAATGTGGGAAAAGACGGCTAAATGGAGCTCCATTTCCCAGGAGGCGCTGTGCCCCAGTGGTGGAAGCTTTGAATCAGGAGGCTCTTGATTGGCCATTGGGGAGACAAAAGTTTCCAAATCGCCAGGGAAACAGGCCCACTTACCTGTAACCCCGGGAACTATTTTTTGCCCGAGAATCTCAAACCACCTTGCTCTGCAATTGTTCCAAAGACTGGGGAGCGGGAGGTATTTGTACCCATTGTCTGCCTGTCATTCCCCAGATGGCACCAGTAAGTCCTGTTACACATATTCAGCACCTGCTGGATGCTTCACTTCTGCGCAGACTCTGTGGAAACCCTGGCTTACTGAGGCAGAAACTGTTGTTTCCCCAAAACAGGCCCGAGCTGGGCATGGAAAAGGCAAATGTGGGCTACAATCCTATTCAGGATCTCTGTCTAGGATTCCTTAAGTCCGGACCTTCTGCAGCCCCATGTCTGCACCAATAGCTGTAACTTCCCTATGGACATATCCCACAAGACAAAGCTCTTCCAGCACCCCCTCCCCAAACACCATTCCGCACCATGCTTCTGAGGGCTAGCTGAAGGGAGCCAGGGCCTCGCAAACGCTCAGGCGGGCATGTGAGAAAGCTCTTTACTGGGGGGTACAGCAAGGAGGAGCAAGGCCATCTCCCCCTACCTACCCCCACCCCTTCCTAGGGCCCTGGGGTGAGGGGGAGTCTCCCCCCCATTGGACCACCACTGTCTTTGGTACAATAAATAGAAAACAAAGGGGAGAGAGGGGGCCAAGGGTCCAGTACTTAGTGGGGAGGGTACGCCTAAACCCCTCTCCTTGACCCCCTGCCCCAGGCCCCAATCAGTGCAGCCCTCACCCACCCCAGCTGGGTAGCAGCAATTCCAGTCAAGGGGAGAGATGAGGATGGGAGCCCAGGGCCCCCAGATGGGGGGTATGGCTTCAGGAGGGGCCCCAGGGAAGGGGCAGGGTCATGAGCTGGCTGCCGTGCTCTGGGGTACACCACGGAGGCCCAAGCGAGGCCCCAGAGTGGCAGGGTCATCAGGGGGTGGGAGGGGTGGACGACCTCCTGTCATCCGAGTCCGGAGGGCTGAGGCAGCCGGGTGCTGGGGGGCAGGCGCTGGGTGAAATGGGGAGCAGTCCGGAGGGCCGCCCACCAGGCTCACATCCATCAGCTCCGGGGGTGGTGGTGAGGTTGGTGATGGAGGACGGCCAAGGCATCGGGGTTGGGGGGGTAACTGGGCCCCAGCCCCTGGCAGTGACGAGGCAGAGGCAGGGGCCTGATGTGTCTTGTGGGGCACATCACCTCCTGCCCAGGGGCGCATCGGCTGGGAGGGTGGGACCTAAAGGAGCAAAGAAACAGTGGGTGATGGAGACCCAGGTTCTGGAGTCCCAGATACTCCGCCACCCACCTCCAAAGGCCCTAAGGCCCCAGTACCTGGGGGCTGTTCATCTCACAGTCAGTGATGGGGGGCCCAGGGCCCCCACAATATCGGTTGCTGTAGCGGTAGGTCCTGTTATCACTGGAGGAGCCGCTGGAGCCTCCTGGAGGTGCCAGGGAAGGAGAAAAGAGGCCTTAGGTGAAGAGAGATGATAACTGGGTGTTTGGGTGGCTGAGTCTGGTTCATGGCCCAGGCCTTGGGCTTTGGGTTCTGCATTTATTTTAAAAAATCAGACACATCTTTGAGATTAGAGATCAGAGTTCAGTTTTAGGTGTTGGAGTCACAACGAACTGGAGGTCTGAGCACAAGGTCAGTTTCAGAGATCAGGTTAGGGCCAGCTGGAGATCTCCTGCCCCAATCTTTGGAGTTCAGATCACGCAGTTTCAAAGCTCTCCAGGGGTGGAAAACCTTTTTTCTGCCAAGGGCCATTTGGGTATTTATAACATCATTCCCGGGCCATACAAAATTATCAACTTAAAAATTAGCCTGCTATATTTGGTCAGGCTAATTTGGTGAGGCATGTGATGTTAGTTGGTATTGATCTTGTGGGCCTTATATGGCCCACAGGCTGGACGTTCCCCACGGCAGCAAGGCCCAATGGCAAGATCCCCAGACCAGGCCAAACCAGAGCTGCCCCCACATCTGTCCTACCCTATTGGGCATTGGGCACCCACCAGAGCTGGAGATGGAGCTGGCGGTGCTGGAAGAGGGGCAGGTGTCGAGGGGTGCGGGCGAGGTGGAGGCACTGCTGCCTGCCGGGCCCGTGTTGGTGGCCTCATCAGCCGTGCGGCGGAAGAAGCCATGCTGCAAAGCCCCCAATGGGCTGATGCGGGCGGCGGGCTCATACTCCAGCATGCGCAGCACCAGGTCCTGGAAGCGGAGGTAGTCGGCGGGGCTGTGGCCCGGCTCCCCCGCCCGCCGGCCCCCGGGCCCGCCCGTCTGCACGCCCAGCACCTCCTGCAGCCGCCGTGTCCCGGGGCCCTGGTAATCCTGGCAGGGAGGGGGTGGGAGGGGGGGCAAGAGAGTGGCCGTCAGTGGGCAGGAGGGGCAGGGAGACACACACGGGGAAACAGAGGCACGAGAGAGAAAGTGGAAAAGAGAAGCTAAGAAGAGTTGTGGGGTGGGTAGGAGAGAGAGGGTGGATTGGGGAGGAAGGAAAAGACAGACAAGGGGGAGAGGAAGGAAGGGAAAGACACAAGGGAGAGGAAGCAGGGAGAGAGGGAGCCCCAAGTGTGAGAGAGTGAGGGGCCACTGGGGTAGGAGGAGCGGCAAAGGGCAGGGGCCGCACCTTCCTGAGTTCTTTTGTCCTTCGTAGGGTCCAGCCACCCCCAGGCAGCCGTTCAAAGTACTTGCGGGCCTTGGGTGCCTGGTCTAGCATGGGGGCTGGTGGGATGCCCAGCACCTCCACAATCCGGTTCATCTGGTCCACCTGTGAGCATGTAGGCAGTCAGGGTAATCAGCCAGCCAGATTTCCACCCCTTCCAACACACCCCCTCCTCAGGAGCACACCTCATTGGAGCCACTGAAGAGGGGCTCTCCAGTGTGCATCTCCACCAGGATGCAGCCCAGGGACCACATGTCAATGGCCAGGTCATAGGGTGTGCCCAGCAGCACCTCAGGTGACCGGTAGAAGCGGCTCTGGATGTACTGGTAAATCTGAGGGAGGACAAAGGGCAATAGTCAGAGGTCTAAGCCTTGCCTACTAGTGCCACTGACACCCTCAAAGCCTTCGGCCCCAAAACTGGGGATGGGAGCTTAAACCTTGATGTTATCAGCACCAACTTTACAGGAGCCACTACCTCCACTTTACTCATCAGCCTCAGGAGTCTGCTGGCCTAGTCTGATCCCGATCTCCATTTGTAGGCCTGATTCTGGGCCCTTCTTAGTCACCAGTCAGAGTCTGGCAGTCTGCAAGCCCAGGCCCTACCCACCATCCCAATCCAGACCCTTTCCATGCCACCACCATTATTATCTCAAACAACTGTTTACAGGAAGCTGCAAAGCTGAAGCGCCCTTCCCCCCTTCCATCCCAGCTTGAAGAGCATAGGGTAAACAAAACTTAGCAAAGTGCCAACTAGGCTCAGAGCCAACCCAATTTCCCCTACCCACATCTGGCAGCCTCAAAACTGGCCCTGCCCCCAGGCTTCACTCTTTCCTTTCTCACTGGGCAGTATATATACACTGTGGCGCTTTCCTTTCCCCACTTCACACACGGGCCCAACTCTTCGTAGTACACACCAACACCCCATCCCAAGCTCTATCCCTCAGGCATCAGTCACTTCAGGATGCATCAGACAACCTCCTCCCAGCCTACAGTGGCCCCTTGACCTGCCCCGCCCCCATCCCGGCCACACCCACACCCACACCCCTAGTTCCGCCCCTGGGGCCGGGCCAGGCCCTACCCGCTGGCCAAGCTGGCAGGAGCTGCCGAAGTCCACGATCTTAATGGCACTGCGCTTGGGGTTGCAGAGCAGGATGTTCTCGGGCTTGAGGTCGCAGTGAATGATGCTAAGCTCGGGCGTGGCCAGGAAGAGAAGCGCCGTGCAGAGCTGCTGCGCCAGCTTCCGCGTCAGGTTCAGCGAGACGCCACGGAAGTGCGTGTTACGCAGGAGGTCATACAGGTTGTAGGAAAGCAGCTCGAACACCAGGCACAGGTGGTTCCTGAACATGAAGTGCCGCTTCAGGTGCACTGCCAGGTAGGGAATGAAAATAGGCAGATGAAGAAAACACTGAGGTTCAGAGAGGCCCAGTGGGCCTGGGGTACTTGGTGATCAAGGAAAGAGGCGGGAAGCAGATCTGTGTCTCTGCTCTGCTTCTTGAGCACTGGCCAAAGTGTGGTGTGCCCACAGGTCCCAGCTGCTAGTCAGGATGTTTTTCTATGGTCTATAACTTTAATCACACCAAGAAAAAAGACTGATTTTTTTTTAATTAAGAAAAGTGAATTCTTTTCAAGTCTCTTGTCAAACTGTCAAGATTAAACCAAAGAGAAAGTTTCCATTTGGTACTGACAGGTCTTTAATACCATTCTATACCGCCTCACTTAATAACATTGTTTTAGTCTCAGTTCTACTTTTTGTGTGTGTGGCAAAGGATACTCATTTTCCATTTACTGTGAGGATTTATATTTAAAGAAATATACTCTTTAAATCCTCTTGCGTTTTCTAAGAGGGACCAGTATAAGCAAGAGGGAAAAGACTGGCATAGATGTTAAGAGTAAAGGCTCTGGAGTCCACTGCCTGGTCAAATTACAGCTCTACTGAGTATAAACTCTGTGACCTTATCCAAGTGATAGCACCTGAATGCCTTGTTTCTTCATTTCCAGTCTGTGGGCAATGATGGCCCTTCCATGGGGCTGTAGTGAGGCAGACAAGAGCTAACTTATGTAAACTCTGACCAGCATTATCTTGTGAATAGGACAAAAACCATAAAAGTGACAGAAGAACCACTGATGTCAGGGAATTATAGACCAAACCCTGCCCTGAGGACACCAACCCCATCCTATAGTAAGGGTGATCCAACCCTAAGCAGCTCCAGATGCGTCAGGCCTTACCTATGTAGTACTTCATCTCTGTGTCATGCTGGTTCATCAGCTCCAGCAGCCGCAGCTCAATCTGGGCCTGGTTCAGGAAGGCCTTTTTGTTCTTGATGATCTTGATGGCCACCAGCTCCTGGGTCTGATGATCATAGGCTTTCACCACCTGCAGGGGCAGAGATGTCACAAAATGAGGGAAATGGGGGGACACAGCCAGGCATCACTGTTTTCCCTCCAGTCAAGGAGGCTAACCATTATCATTATCAATATTACTAACAGGAATTCGAAATTAAGTGCTCACCAACGATAAGGCACTAGTATAAACACTGGACATGAAATAACACAACCACCTCATGTGGAGAGTCCTGTTAATTGCAGTTTTTTAAAGAAAAGGAAACTGAGGCACAGGAAAACCAAGTGACTGGGCTGGGGTGAATGGCCCAACATAAAAGTTGAAGCCACTGAATCACAGACTGTGAATCAATATTAGTGGGTGCTCATGTCCCCCACTCTCTGGATCTGGATGGGGGTTGGGGCATCCCGCACCTGGCCAAAGGAGCCTTTGCCAATGAGGGAGTCAATCTCATAACGCTCCAGCCAGCGCTCGCCACTGCGCACTATGTAGTCATGGTTGTCATCGTCATAACCGTGGTTCAGGACCTTCTTCTCCTTCTTGGTGCTTGAGTCCTGAGATGGTGCCTGCTGGGCCCGCCGCTTCTTCTTCGCATAGTAGACCTGCCCAGCCAGCCAGCCAGGAGATGAGGACTGGTGAGTGACCTGTGCCAGCAGCCAGGACCCCTCAGCACCCAGCCTCAGTCCCCCACCCCCTGCCTACCTCATTGATGTGCTTGTAGGTCTTGATGAGGTCCACAGAGAGCTTGCGCAGCGGAGCCGTGGCCGCATCCCGGAAGGCCAAGGGAAGCCTCCGAGGCAAGAGCCGCACATCAGGCAATACCTGCTGGGTGGGGTCAGAGGTGGGCACTGAGGACAGGCCTTTCTTTACCTCCAGCCTCAAGGGGGAAAACTAGTAGGTGGCTGGCTCATCATTACCACATGCATATTTATTTGGTCACTGTCTGACAACCCCACTAGAAGAGAAAGTCTCCAGGGGCAGAGGCTTCGTCTTGTTCTTGCTGTATACCTCCAGTGCCTGAAGCAGGGTCTGGCACATAGTGGACAATCATTAAAGATTGGCTGAATGAATGCATGGTGAGCTATTTATTTACCCATGACCTTTCATCCCACACCTTTATGCTTTTCTGAACCTCAGGGAGAGAGATCATACAAAAAACCTAGGCTCTGCTCCTCCCAACCCTTCGGCTGAAGCCATCCATCTGGGTATCCCATCTTGAGGGTCCCCATCTTGCTTTAGCCACCCCCCCACCCCCCCCAGTTATTTCACCTCACGGGTCTGGATCTGGATCCAACACCCTGGACCTCCCACTCCAAGCTCTACATTTCAGAACCTTTATAATCTCTACCCTTGGAGATCTATACCCTGTACCCTAGACCCTGCTGGCTCCAAGACCCTTTAGGCTTCAGGCTCAACTTCCCTCCCCTTTCATGCCCTCCAGGTCTTTCTCTCTGGACTTTTCTTTTCTTAGTGAACAGTTATTGTTTACTATATGCCAGGCACTGTCCTCAGCATTTTACATGCATTTCATTAACTGGTTTAATCCTCACAACAACCCTGTGAGGATAGGTATCATTATTGGCCCCATTTTACAGAACAGAAAACTGAAACATGGAGAACCTAAGTAATTTTACCATCATGTCTGGATTTTAACCCAGGCCCTCCAAACCCTGGCTGTGCCAGAAACTCCTCTATTATATTCAATTCCCATGGAGCCTTCATGCCCCTGGGAGAAACTGTCCTGGGCAACCACACTATCTTTTGGCCCCAAGATCCTTCTATCCCCAGCCTCCCCCTACCCCAGGCAGGTGAGAAGCCAGCTGAACACAAACCTGTGTGTGCTCCTGGGGCCCCGGGAAGCCAGAGAAGGGACCATGGCCTGGTGGGACGGCCATGGTGGGCTCAGAGGTCCGCAGGGGAGCGAGGCCTGGAGCGGGAGCCCGGCCGGGGGGCGCCTTCTCGCATCCTGCACCTCGGCTGCCACCGCCGCTGAGACCTGAGAGCAGGCAGGAGGCAGGGGAACAACATGGAAAAAGGGGATGTGTGAGAAAGTGCCAGGCAGGAAAGAGGTGAACATCAGAGAGAAGGCAGGGCACAGAGGGCAGAGGAAAGGGTGCAACAAGGCAACAGGTAGGAATGAAGAGAGGGGACAGACAGAAGAGGTGGTGTGGGGGAAGTATAACAGAGCCCCTCAACAAATGATTACCAAACAAACGAGGTAGGAGGCATAAACAGGGGCATATGTGAAAGGAAGTGATTGGGAGTCAGGCAGGAATATGGACCAGGACAGAAAAGAACAGAAAGACCATTAATTGGGGGAGGGAAGAGAAAAAAATAGGAACCACAGACAGTATAGAAAGTAGGGTTGACTTTTCTTTCCATTTCCACTGGTGGCTCTCCCCAGGCCACCCTCACACAAGATCCTGCCCCCACCCCCAACCCCCTGCAGTCTTCCCTGAACATTGGGATCTTATCACAGCAAGGTTCCTCTGCTTCAAGATTACCCTTCCCAACAGATCCCCCAATCCAGAAGTCTAGGATCTCCCAAACCACATTCGAGTCCTCTGGGCCCCCACCAAACCATAGCAAAATCCTCTGCAGGCCTCTAAAACCACATCAGGGTCCTTGGGGACCTCACGATCACACTGTTATCTGAGAACCCCTATATAACAGAATCCTACCCCTATGGCATTCTGGTCCACCAGGGCACACCCTTCCCCAGGGATCTTCCCCATATTATGCCGAGACCTCTTCCCTATATCGTTTCCTGCCACACCAGGGACCACCCCTCCAGCTAGTTTCTCCATACCATATTCCAGTTCCCTGACATTATGCCAAGGTACCCCTTCCAATCAAGGCCCACTCCTCCTGATGGGAGCAAAAGGGAGGTGTCTCTTCTCCTGGTTTAGAGTGATCTTCCTTCTCTTCTCTATACTGGAGCATACCCACCTCCTCCCAATCCAATATTCCTACCAGGGCCATGTCTCCGGTCACTCTTCTGTCCACCAGGGTCAATCCACAACTGTGCCCATTCCTAGAAGGTCCTCATAGCCAAATCCCCCAAATATCAGAGTTCTTCCCTCTCCGAGTATCTGCCACACCAAAATCCTCTCCTCATGGGCCTTCCCTCAAGTCAGTCCCTTTCTCCTCTGCCAAAACTTGCTACCCCACGACCCCTCCTCTCTTGGAGCTCCCTCCTCCCGCCCCCCCCCCCCCCATACACACACAACAAACTCTTTCCCAGGGACCCTCCCACAGCAGGACGGTCTCTCCCAGCTGCCATCCCCTACCCGGGTCAGGGCTGGCACGGGGCCCACGGGGGGCTGGGGCGCGGTGGGGCCCCCAGTGGGGTGGGCGAGCAGCCAGCATGGCGGCAGTGGCGGCAGTGAGGAGACAGCCGCCTGTCCCGGGCCGACCGGCCCCGTCAAGCCCCGCGGCGGGGAGGGCAAGCGGGACAGGCGGCCCGGTGGGTGACAACAGCAGCCGCAGAGGGCGGGGGAAGGGAGAGGAGGGGACGAGGGTCAGCCCGGGGCAGGAAAAAGCAGGTGGACGGGGGAGGGGCGGGTTAACCCTCGACCCGCCGGCCCCGCCCCGCGCAGCCACCCGCCCCCAGGGACACCGGTGTCCCGCCTCCCATCCTGGAGGGCCACCTAGGCCAGCGGGCAGGCCTGAACTTGGCAGTCCACACCTGCCATGGCAACAACCGTGCCATTGGTCGCTGGGGCCAAGAGCTCAGCCAATCACAGCCCAGAGCAGCTGTTGCTAGGAGACAACGATGCGGCCGGCAGAGCCGAGCCCAAACAAAGGGCGGGAGCGGGGCCCCAGTACCCCCTCCCAGCCTCCCTCCCAGGACAGCTCCCTCGGGCTCATCCCCTTCCAGGAATCCGACTATGAATAGCTAGGCACTGCCTGCACCTGCCCACCGCCCCACTCCTCTCCTCCCTCGGCCTCCTGTCTCACGGCGTAGGGACAGGGCGGGTCCCGTACTATCCCCCTTACAGGAGCGCGAGCCGCGCCCCTCCATAGTCCCCTCGTTACCTGAGAGCGCGGACAAGGGGGCTCAAGCTGCTCGGGAAGCCCGAGCTCAGACCTGCCCACTGGCTGAAGACACCTTGCAGACGCGGCAGAGGCAGGGCCCTGATTACCCAGTAATGCAACCAGCAAAATGGCGACCACAACAAACCGGCCCCCCCAAGCCCCGGGCTCCGCCCCCACACCACCCATCTGCTCCCTCTCACGTGACCCACGGCATCACATCGCGCCTGCGCTCAGTGGCGCTTACCAGCACACATGCGCAGTGGGCTACCAACCCCGCCCAAGCGCCAAAATCCGGGTTAGGGCGGTGCAAAAGGCAGCTAAGAAAGGAGCATGCGCTGTGTGATCTGATGAGACTGTACCCCGACCACCACGCCAGTTAACCAAGGGCGTATATGGCCTGTTGTCAATAGAAGTCGCCAAGCAATCAGCAACAGACCCAGACTGGAAGGAAGAATGAGTCTTTTAATAGAAAAACACATGTATAACAGTAGCAACATAATCTCGCAATCCAGATGAAGCGATGGACTTCAGTTTTTCACCTTGGGGGGCGGCCTGTGAGAGGAAGGAGATGAGGGCCTGTCAGAGCTTGTCACCACTTTAGGGGCACTCCTAACAAGTACTGACCCGTGTGGCTCTGGGTGCAGGGACCAGAGATACTTGTCTTGGTGGAGTACGGGAACCCCCTGCTCACCTGTACACACCCACGACCACAGCGTGGTCTCTTTCATATGGCTCTAGAGTCAACTGCTCCTGGGGCTTCATGTTCTCCTGCTGCATCTTTTTCACTTCGGAGGCGAACACTGCCTCGGCAGACGCTGTGGAGTCAATGCAGTTGGCCTGCAAAGAAGAGAGGATTTGAAGTCTGCAGCAAGGCTTTGGGCTACTTACCCCTTTCTGTGCTCTTTAAATCAGAAGTACATGTTTTTATTGGAAACGGTGACACTCAGGTTTTGGAAATTTTCAATTTGGTCTGTATTTGGTACAGGTAGCCTTTAACAGAATCCTCTTACTCTAAAAGCCAGTGTTTAAATTTTACACTCAGCCCCCCTCTGCCCCCCACACACTTCCTCTTTAACAATAATAATGCAGCTGAGAATATGAAAACATGTAGCAAAAGACTAATAAGAAAATGGTGAATCTTGCTGAAGGGCACATGGCAGAGTTCTCTGTATTTCAAAATAAAACACTGTTAAAAATACGCCTAGCATTTATCTAGTATTTATTCTACATCAGGCTCTGTTCTAAACACTTGACATATATTGATAAATTTAGTCCTTATATAGACACTAAAAAATAGGACTAATATTTCTGTTTTACAAGCACATAGGTTAAGTAATTTGCCCAAAGTCACACAAGCTGGAATTCAAACTCAGATTGTCAGACTCAGCGATTATGCACTTGACCACTATGTTCTATTGCCTCTTTAAATGTCTAGTTTTGCAGACATTTTTTATCATGTGCTATTTGACTAGAATCAGGGGATGGCTTGTAGGGAGCTGGGTAGGGATAAAGGCTGAAAACAGACTAACTGAAATAGAGGGGATGAAGGCTCCCTTGTTTTGACTGGCTGCTTAGCAGTTAATGATAGAGAAGATACTAGTACTCCATCTTAGACTCCTCCAAGCCCCGCACCTTAATGGAAATCACAAAGTGTCCTCCATTACGTAGGAAAGTGTGGGCATTCAGGGCTACAATACGGGTCTGGTCTGGCTGGGCCACATCAGCAAAGATCACATCCACCATTGCTAGGAAGAAAGAAGTGGCAGTTAAAAGCTGGGTCCACTGGATCTTCCCAGTTCCTCCCATGGGGCCTACAGATTCCTGCCTCTAGTCTGATTTCCCCCTTTTGATCCCCCTTCCTCCATGGTGCTCCCAAGATGGGTCCAAAACCCACAATCACATCCTTCCTTCATGCCTCTCATAAACCATGGTTGCCACCTACTCTGTGGCCAGCCCTGGGCCAGGCATGGGGACCAGAGAGATGAGTTAGACCCAGATATTGCCCTTGAGACTCTCCCAGGTCTGAGGTGGGGGGACCGGGTGGAACAGACATGTCATCAAAAAGGCAAGAAAGCCCTGGCCGGTTTGGCTCAGCGGTTAGAGCGTCGGCCTGCGGTCCAGAGAGACCCGGGTTCGGTTCCCGCTAAGGGCATGTACCTTGGTTGCAGTTTGTCCCCGGCCCTGATTGGTCTTGTGGGTGGCAGCCACTCGATGTGTCCCTTTCACGTCGATGCTTCTCTCTCTCTCTCTCTCTCTCTCTCTCTCTCTCTCTCTCTCTCTCTCTTCCTCTCTTTCCCTCCCACTCTATCTGAACAAAAAATGGAAAAAAAAAAAGGCAAGGAAAATTGAGCACTTACAGGCGAGAGTACCTGCAGGATTGTCAGATGAAAACAAGATGTAAGTTCATGGAAAAAAATTCAGAAAGGAAACTCAGTAGAATGCAAAGTAATATTTTTAAGGCCATGTGATTAAAAAAAAATACAAAATTTTTTAAAATAGAAAGATGATGTAATGAAACTAACTTTTAAAAATTGGGAACAGCAGACATCCAGTTGTTTATATGTTACCTCAGAGGGTGATTTATGAAGCATTCTATCTTTACATTTTGCTTCTGATTTTTTAAAAAACAAAGTAATTGATATTCACAATGGGCTCCTCTGGGCCAGGACACACTCAGTTTGTGCTTTCTGGGTTATGCTCTCACCAGATGATGATGGGGACCTCTAAAGGAAGCTTTTATACATAAGCCGGGGCAGTGTAGAAGTGCCATATTTTAGAGGGAGGCAGAAGTACAGGGTGGCCTGGGGAGAGGGGCATGAGAACAGGGGAGAGGAGGCTGGCCCTCTGAAGGTGCCGGATATCTGAGACCCTGAAGCGGGACCACCATCTTAACCTCACCTGGCTCCCCTGACCCTTTTCAGTCCTGCAGACTCAAGAGGCCTACTCATGCACTCCAAGTCCATCCAAATCAGGGCTCTGGCTTCTTCCAGGAAACCTGGAGTGGCCTGTCCTACCCCACCTGGGCCAACCCCCAGACCCCTCACCAATGAGCATGCGGTATTTGTGTGGGTGCCGAGCATCTTCAATGACAGGAATAATGTTGGTCCTCTTCTTGGCCAAGTTAATGAGGTCACGGCCAGAGCGGTGGGAGAACTCAACTGCATAGACCAGACCGTCCTAAAATAAATCAAATAATTATAATTATATTAGTTCTCATGTATGGAGCACCTATTTTGGGCCCATATACTACATGCAGCATCTCTTCAAATCCCCAAATCAAAACTGTACCATTTAACAACTATTGTTATGTCCATTTTACGGATGAATAAACTGAGGTCCAGAGACATGAAGTTGCTGGCCGAGGTTTATTCACTCCCGCTTTCCCTGATCTGAAAGCCCAGACCCCCAATAAAGGCTTAAAACCAGGAAGCTGGGGCACAGAGATGAAATGATAACAGCTAAGAATATCTGCAATGGGCCAGGCTTTGCTCTAAGCACTTTACAGGAATTAACTCATTTATCTTCACAATGACCCTATTTTCCAGAGGGGTAAACCGAGGCTCAGAGAAGGCTGAAAGTCATGTCACTGTTAAATGGCTGCCCCAGAGCCTGGGTTTGCAGCCTAGTTATGCAGATGAGCTAGAGGTCATGACATGACATGCACAGGTACCCTCTGAATCAGGAGCCTGCACAGCCTGCCTCACAGGAAGTGCAGGCCCAGAAACTGAGATCTGTTCTTTCAAGAGAAATCAGATCTGATTTGTGAGGGCATAAATTTTTGTTTTGTTAATCCTCACCGAGGATATTTTTCCCTTTTTTTTTTTGTTAAGATAGAGTGGAGCCCTGGCCGGTTTGGCTCAGCGGTTAGAGCGTCGACCTGCGGTCCTGAGAGACCCGGGTTCGGTTCCCGCTAAGGGCGCGTGCCTCGGTTGCAGTTTGTCCCCGGCCCTGGTCAGTCGTGTGGGTGGCGGCCACTCGATGTGTTCCTTTCACATCGCTGTTTCTCTCTCTCTCTCTGTTCCTCTCTCTCTCTCCCACTCTACCTGAACAAAAAAATGGGAAAATGTCCTCGGGTGAGGATTAAAAAAAAGATAGAGTGGAAAGGAGGGGGAGAGAGAGACACATCAATTGGCTGCTTCCCACATGATCCCTTGGGGTCAGGGGTCAAACCTGCAACCCAGGTACGTGCCCTTGATCCAGAATCTAACCACTGAGCCAAATCGGCCAAGACGAGAGGTACACATTTTTTAAAAGGTTAACCAAATCAAGTAGTCTGTTATGTACTCAGGAGTCTGGTGTACAGTCAGTTCTGGGCCTGGCTAACAAAGGTCACCCAATGCCCAGGCCTTTCCCTCTGGGCCAGGAACTCAGGAGTGAAGCTGAATGAGGCTTTGGAGAGCAGGTAGTTCAAGCTGCTCCTCTGACTCACAGGCACTCTGAGGGGAAAGGCCTGGCTCCACGGCACGCAGTACAGGGAAGGAGCCGGGGCCTCTGACTCCAGCTTGGCAGAAGGGGCACCTTTCTCTCCTTCCCACCTCACCACCCGCCCTTACTCATATCCAACCCCACAACTCCATCCACTCACCGGGCCTACGATGTCAGAGACATGGGAGACGGTGGTGCCCGAGGCAGCCCCTAGGTAGAGCACCTTGGCCCCTGGCTTGATGTGGATCTGGTCCACACCGCCCAGGATTGCTGCCGCTAGCTTGGAGCGGAAGGGGTTCCAGGCACGGTACTCGATTTTGTCATCTCCCTCCTGGGCCAGAAGAGATGGGACGGTCAGTGCCAGACTCTTCTGCAAGCCCCCACTGCCCTTAACCTTAAGACCCTCAAAGGGACACAATCACTGTACAAGAAACAAATGTGGGTACGTATCAGTGACCATGACAGACGCAGTGTTTGCCCTATCACGGAAGTTACTGACTCATGGAAAAGGGGCAACGACAGACAATAAACACATACCAAACAATGGCAAGCTCTACGCATTCATTCCACACACATTTGCAGTGTTAGCACATGCAGTGTGCAGACCCTGTAACAGGCACTGGTGCTACACAGTGGATGAGACAAAGAGCCCTGCCCTGGAAGAATAAGTAGGCACTGAACTCACACACAGACAACACGGTAGCCAGTGACAGGTGCTAAGGAGAAAGGACCAAGCCAAGAAAGTAGACAT